AGAAATATGAATTTTCTCCCACTGACCTTAAGATAGATGTACTAATCAATTATTTTCTTTAAAACCCAAGGAAGTCACCATATCATCAAATTTCAAGTACCATTGTCTAGAAGCCGGTTTCAAACCATAAATAGATTTTCTCAATTTATAAACCAAATTCTCATTACCACTTACCACAAAACCCTTATCCTGGTGCATGTACACCTTCTCATCAAGATCACCATTCAAAAAATAAGTCTTAACAACCATCTGATGCAAGTCCAAGTAAAAATATGCTACAAGGGCCATAACGATTCTAAAGGAGTCTTTAGTGGAAACATGAGAAAAAGTTTCATTAAAATCAATCCCCTCATTTTGTGTGAAACCTTTAGCCACAAGTCTTGCCTTAAGCCTCTCAATTTTACCTTTTGAGTCCTTCTTTGTTTTGAATATCCACTTGCAACCAATCACCTTATAGTTTCTTGGTAACTTCACTAGTTTCCAAACATCATTATTCACCATAGATTTCATTTCATCATGCATTGAATCTGTCCACATGCTAGATTGAGAATAAGTAAAAGCTTCTAAGTAATTTTTAGGATCAATAACACTACCAACATCATAACCATCCTCACCAAGATAAACTACAAAATCATCAAAGATAGCATGTCGCTTTTGTCTTATTGACCTTCTAACATGAATTTTCTCAACTGGCTCATCAAGTTGTGCAACCTCAGCTATAATAGTAAGATCAACTACATTTTCAACAAGTGGCTCGACCATATCTTCAACTGGATGTTCAACCATATTCTCATTTAGAGCAAAACCTCCATGAGCAGTGGATGATCTAGCATTATCAAAATTAGGCAGTGACAAAGTAACAACATCAAGCATAACATAATCAATATTATTTAGATACAATAACAGGCTCAATAACATCAAGTTTAAGGAATTTTGCATGCATGGGCTCCACAATTTTATTACCTCTACCATGACAAAAGAATTTGTATCCTTTAGATCGATCTGGATATCCAATGAAAAAATAATGACTTGTTTTTGGGTTAAGCTTTGTCTCAAAGGGATTATATATTTTAACCTCTGCAGGGCAACCCCAGACATGAAGATGATTTAAACTGGGTTTTCTACTCGTCCATAGCTTAAAAGGTGTTTTTGGAACTGATTTACTAGGAACTTTATTAAGTATATAAAGGGTTGTTTTCAAAGCGCCACCCCATAAAAATTCTGGTAAGTTACACCTACTCATCATGCTTCTCATCATATCCTTAAGGGTGCGGTTTCGCCTTTTAGCTACACCATTTTGTTCAGGAGTACCGAGCATGGTTAATTGTGGAATCACAAACTTGCAAGTATTTAGCAAAAGGCCTCATGTGTTGCCCAATAGAATCATATCTACCATAATACTTTCCACTAAGGTCAGAACGTACCACCTTTATCACTTTTCCTAGTTGCTTTTCAACCTTAGTTTTAAAGTGCTTCTGATTTTTCCTTAATCAAGTAGAGATAGCCATACCGGAAAAAATCATCAATAAAAGTGATAAAATATTTATTACTACAAATAGTAGGGAAAAAGGGGACGCCAATGTCTGTATGAATTATTTCTAAAAGGTCTGAACTTCTAGTTGAACCTTTCTTATTGGTATTAGTATATTTTCCTCTAATACAATCCACACAAGTCCCTATATCATTGAAATCTAAGGAAGGTAAAATATCATCTTTAATTAACCTTTCAACTCTTTCTTTAGAGATATGTCCTAAACACTTGTGCCACAACAAAGAGGATTTTTCTCTAATTTTAGATCTTTTAGCAATGGAACTTTCAACATTTAAGGATGAGGATATCATATCACAATCCAAAGATAACTTATATAAACCATCCAACAAGATACCATTAGCAACAACTTGAGAATTCAACATCAAATTTATTTTTCCATCATAAAAGGTAAATTGAAATCCAAACTTATCCAAACAAGATACTGAAATCAAATTCCTTCTAAAAGAAGGTACATAAAATGTATCTTTCAAAACAAGTTCAAAATCAGTTCCTAAAACTAAGCTAACATCTCCCACTAGCTCCACAATGACTTCAAGATCATTTCCTACCCTGAGTTTGCTTTCCCTCAAGTTTGGTCTCCGCTAGTTTCTGAACCCCTGTAAGGAGACATCAATATGGGTTGTAGAACCACTATCAAGCCACCAAAAATTAATGGGAACATCAACTAAGTTAGTCTCAAAATAGACAAAAGCTAAATGATTACCTCCAGATTTGTTCTTGTTGTCTAAACAAGCTTTAAAAGCATGACAATCAGTTTTCTTATGTCCCTTTTCCTTACACCAAAAGCACCAAAAGGATTTCTTAAAAGCAACAGGTTTGGGACCTCCTATATTATGGTGTTGACCATTACCAGGTTTCCGATCAGGATATCTATGAGAAGCACTATAAATGTTTTTCTTATTTTTCCAAGAACTCTCACCAGAATGGGGTTTAACATGAAAAGTTAGGAAGTCTAAATCACTTCTTTCCTTCTTGAGTTTCTCTTCTTTAGCTACACACTTGGAAATAGCAGTAAGATATTCTTTAGCATTCTCTTTCTCAGGCAATCCACATATCAAACATTCAGAAATGGTCATCTTAATAACACACAAGCTAAGTCAATCACTCATCTCCCACTTAACTAATTTTTCTTTCTCCTCAGGTGTACTTTGTTTATCGATCACAGGTTTGGTTTCACGCAATGTCATGTCAAGGTCAATAATCCCTGATAGAAATTCTAAGTCTCTCTTCCATTTCTTAAAATGAGATCCATTTAGGATCTCAATAGAAGTAGAACAATTGTTCATAGAGAAGGTCATTGCTCAGACAGAATAGGAATGCATTAGAACAAATAATAAAGGCAAGATATAGCTTTAATGAACATAAGTTATCACTAAGAGGCCAACATTATCACACAATCCCTTTTGGGTGGAATGAGTAAAACCCAAGTTACAACCAAGGTTAAAACCTCATATGAATCACTCAATGAGCATACATTGAGTTTGAAAATCTATCTCCTATGGGTAGATAAATTCTCTAAATCAAAACACCTCCAACAACTTCATCTACAAGCTTCAAGAATAAGCTACTCAATGAGCATACATTGAGTTTAGAAATTTACTCCTTTGGGTAAATAAATCCTTTCGACCCAAGCATCTCCAATAGTTATATCCTTAATCAACCACGATCTCTACATACAATTGTCCACCTTTGGAAAAACAATCATAGTAATGACTTAAAATCATTTCTCAAACTATCAAGAGACTTTTATAAATTAAAATGAGTGATCTCACTTTGGTAGTAATCACACACAATTATTTATAAAATTTCTTGCATAGGAATCAATTTTCTTTTGCCAAAAAAAGTCATGACCAATCATGAATTTAAACAATATATCATTTCCAATAAATTTTATCTTTAACAGTATCAATTTTAATATTATAATAATATTATAAAGGATGTTATACAATATTTTAAAATACTTGACAAAACAAATATTTTATAAATTTATATAAATTTATATTTATTTAATAAAATGTCAAAGACAATACAATTAAAAAAAATAACAGTTTAATATGTAGTTTTATATATAGGTTCAATTAATTTAATATATAATTATATAAAGTATATATAATTCAATTGGTTGAATTAGTTTAATTATATAATAGTTAAAAAATAGCAGTTAGCATAACAATTGACAATAACATTTTGTTTGTATAAAATTGAGATAAAATTAACAATTGGTATAACAGATCTATCATTCTGCAAATACAATAAAAGAAACGGCAATGCCCTATTGACTTAAAAAAAAACAATTTAATAAAATAATAGGCACTGCAATAGTGACAATAAAAAGAAAAACCAATTCAACAAAAAAACCGAAATAGCGCTATTGATGTTGTGGAAGAGAAAACAAACCATATGAATAATGGCAATGCATAAAGTATATAAATTAGAAGCACATGAATATATAATTGGATCCAGTAAACATTTGACAGCATATGCTTAGGTAGTACAGTAAACATTTGGAAAACCAATTTTAAAGAAACGGCACCGCGCGTAGGAAAAATCAAACGTGCCATAGAAAATTGGTTTGTAATTTATAAATTTTACACAATTAATATCAATAATTTTACACAGCTAATATCAATAATTTCTATGTTAAAAAATTGACTTCAAAATAAAAACTATTATAAAAAAATTACCTTCTATATTAAAATATTTATATGCCATTTAAAAAAATTAAAGTGAATGATGCTTTAAAAAATAATTGTTTAAAAATGGATTAAAATAATTGGAATCTTTAATTTATAATCACGTATTAACGACAAATAATTGAATTCTAACTCATATAATTGAGCTCTGATATTAAACGGAAGCGAACAAATTTATCTATCAATTATATGAAATTAGAACCTACACTTTTATCCATACTAATCAGGTTTCAGATACTCAGCCTTTACTTAAAAAAAATCACTTAACTAATAAAAGGATTTATATATGCACCCCATCAAAATTATGATTAACCCGTTTTTCACCAACTAAAAAACAATTGATTGTACCCCATAAAAAATTAGATAAAAGTAGTATGTTAATGAAATTATGAATGTTAATAAACACCATAATATTTTAGTAATAAATAAAATTGGTTAATAAAATATAAAATGTTGGTTAACAAAGTTATAAAGTTGGTTAATTACACAATTTTATATTAATATTATTTAATTTTAAAAAAGAAAAAATAATTTTTTATATTTTTTTATTAAAATAAAATGTAGAAATATATTTTTGTTTTAATTATTGTCATTGATGTATGATACTAGAGGAGTATTTACTTTTCTAAAAAAAGTATAATTAATTAATTAATTTAATGTAGCCTAGAAGTAAAGCCAACGTCTGTCAATGTTAAGGCAGCCGTAGCTTCATTCTGTAAACCTTTCCGCAGCATCGTCCCTTCTCCTCCGTCACTATGGCGAAAAACAGGAACAAGAAAAAGAAAAACGGTGTCGTTTCAATGGATACAACCGACTCCATCGTTTCGGAAGCACCTCAAGGTACTCGGTTTCCCTTTATTTTTTTCGGTTGAAATCAATATCGAAAAATTTCATTATTCTGCTTCTAGTCTTATTATTACATTGTAAAGTCTTGTTTTGTTTTGATTTTATCTTATTTGTTCTTGGCGTGGTTTAAGATTTGAGAGTTTTGTTTACTTTCAGCTATGGACACATCAGAATCAGTAGCTAAAATCAAGGTTCCTGGTGCTACCAATTTGTAAGTTTACTTTATTGCCCTTGTAGTTTACATCGCCATACTTGATATTTCAGAGAGCCACAGTTGAACATGGTACTTTTTTTTAAAACCCTAGTTATAAGTAGGTTAAATTATTATCTGTTTTTTTAAATTCTTTTTATAGAGGGAACCATATGAATAAGCCAACATTTTCCCAAATGATTGCAATTTACATCAATAAATTGGTTCTGTAGCTAGGGTTTGCTTTGAACTTTATCAATACGAATTCGATGCAGTATTATAATTTTTTAAATGACGAGTCAAAACCATTTTTCTAAAAAATGGGAAATTTAACTAAGTCTCTTAGAAGGAGTGGTGCCTGATAGTTTCTGAGATAGAGTGTTCACAAATGTCAACCAGTATCTAATTTGATTATCATTACAAGAAAATTGTAACTTTCATGTACAGTTTGTATGTTTGTTGAGAAGGATTTGGTAGTCTTGGTAGAAAAAGTTCTTCCTGTTTTTGTTCTTTCTACAACACGCACAGTTTTTTTAATTACATTTGCTCTCACCTTGAATTCACTTCGGGCTCTAACTCAGTGGTAAGAGCTTACCCATGTAACTTCAAAGTACGGAGTTCAAATCTGTTGAGAATGGTTGTAAAATGACCATTTATGCCACTTTAATTAATAAAAATTGCCCCGCCTCTCCAATTTTTTTCTTATTTTTTTTGGAATGAGGTACAACTGTTTTATAGGGAGTTCAATGTAGATGATTTAATTACTCCTGTATGCAGAGACTGAGAATCCTAAAGTACTTTTCTTTAACATATTATTACATCAACTCAAATATCATAGACTCTTTGTATGAAGAAAAATTGATGATATAAAAAAGTCTCCGTTGTTTACACCGAAGGCTTTTTAATATTTCCCATAAAGGCTTAACACAATATATACCACACACAGTTCGATTTAAACATTTTTTTGGTATTAAATAAACTCTTACCAGTCAACTCTATGGTCATTTCATAAGCATGTTTGATTCCTTATGAAAATTATATAAATTGGTGGATTTAGAGTTGAATCACATAAATTATCTTTTTATTAGTCCACACTATTCAGGTTCTATTAGGGGCGTTATCTTAGACAATATGTGATGCATCCCCTCTACTTATTTTATTATAATTGCAAGATATGTATGTTATTGATATCGATTGCGTGAGTGGATAGCCAAAAACACTGTTAAATTTCCCTTGTAATTATCTTCAAAACTGATAAAAATTTATATGTGTAGGTTGTTGATGGAAATTTTCAGTGTTTTGATGGAAGTACATAACATACATATAAATTTTCAACACATAAATTTATGTGTATGTTGTGCTGATGGAAATTTATATGTTCATGTATAAAAATTTTCAACAAACCAAATCAAATAGCTTTTCATATAAATTTATATACTTCAGATTGGTTTGCAGTGTTGATGGATTTTGTGTATGTTGTGTTTTCTGCATTCTCTCATTTCAAAGACATGAATATTTTCTTCAATACACTTTCTTTATTTTGCTCGTGATTTTCATGGGTATATGCATTAGATCTGTAGTCCATAAGAGTTTTGCTCTTAAATACTTGTTTGAGAGGAAAAGGGGAACAACTATCATATAAAGGGATTATAAATCTAGGGAAACATATATAACTTTCTTAATTGTCGAAGTTATAAATGACAATAGTTTATTAATCGAGGAATTTGTTAGAGATAACTCATCTTATTCGAGTTCCATCATGTTTTAACTTTATGGCACCTCCAATATGAAGTGGAGAGGAAGCGCATTTGACTTGCTTCTTCATTTTCATTTATTTGCAAAACACAATAATGCTAAGTTCCTCTCAACTCGCACTTGTTAAAATTATTACTATGCGATGATTACAATTGCATTCTAACTGCATTTTCACATACACACTTCTGCTCTTTCGGTTTCACTTGTTCTAAATTGCTACCTTTTATTATGAATCTCTTCTGAAACAGGAAGGTGAAGCAGAATGGAAGGCCTATGAAGAGATCAAAATGCGCGCGAAAAATGAAGGCAATAGCGAAAGCTATATCCGCAAATGAGAAGTCTGCTCAAAAAGTTTCCAAGAATGACAGCAAAAAGATTAGAGTTCAATCTGCAAAAACACTCTACGAATAAATAACTAGCTGGATGGTTCATAATTAACATTTGATACTTTATATCACAAGCACCGAATATACTCCTTTTTGTAATTTAGTTTAGCTAAATTCAATTATTTGTCTAGGCCAAGTGTTTTTCAATATCGAACCTTCTTATTTTGCTGCATCCTTATTCTTATAGTCGTGTTTTATAGTTTATTATTTACTTATGGAAAATGAAAAATCATAGCAAGTATCCCACTTTTGAATAAAACTTGGATTGAATGATCTCAAGATTAAGCTAGGATTAAGGTATTTACTTAATTATTTGTTTGTTTGTTGTGAATTAACTACTTTCTTTATTTTAAAAAAAAAGTAACTACTTTCTTTATTTTAAAAAAAAGTAACTACTGTTAAATATGCAATGCAATTTATTGATTTAGAAAGATCAGATTTAATTTAAAAAGATTAGATTAGATATTTTGGGCTTTTATAGTTTGGGCTTTGTCTTGATGTGCAAGTTAATCTAAATCTATAAATAGAGAAAAATGTTTAGTTTGTAAACATCTCATCTCATCATATTTTGTAATTCACATTTTGCAGTTGCAAGTGAATAACATAATTTCTATAGTTTATAGGTAGAGAGTTCTTTGCAGAAAATTGTTTATCTTCTTCTTCTCCAATATTTACTTTCTTTCTTTCTAAACTTTTCTTTCATTGTCATTACGTGATTTGAAACAATCTTGAGATCAAGATTGATTGAGTGAAATTTTCCATAGGTTGTGATTGAATTTCCAACATCTGGTATTTAGAGCTCCGGTTACGATTCAAGGAAGAAAAATCGTGATGGCGATGAATCATCCAAACAGACACTTTCTGGCAAACCTTCCAATTCTCAAGAAAGATAACTATGAGAATTGGTGCAAGTAGATTAAGGTGGTTTTCTGTTATCAAGATCTTTGAGATCTTGTGAAGGGAGGAGTAGCATCGCTTGCAGAAAACGCGACGGATCAAGACAATGCTGCATTCAAAGAATTGAAGAAGAAAGACTATAAAACTCTCTTTATAATCCATTAATGTGTAGATCAAGATAACTTTGAAAAGGTTAGTGATGTAGAATCACTGAAGGAAGCGTTGAAGATTCTTAAAAAGTCGTTTGAAGGCGCAGAAAAGGTGAAAGATGTGAGGTTACAAATTCACAAGAGAACCTATGAATTGCTTCAGATGGAAGAAAGTGAAAGTATAACAGATTTCTTCACTAGAAATACAAAGCTGGTGCATCAATTCAAGGTATGTGAAGAAATGTTGACATCAAGATCAGTTGTTGCAAAGATATTGAGGTTGTTAGCTCCAAAGTTCGACCATGTGGTAGTAGCCATAGAAGAGTCGAACGACTTGTCAACATTGACGAAGGAAAAGCTTCAAGGGACGCTTGAGTCTCATGAACAAAAGGTGACTGAGAGAGTTGCAGGAAAGTCGAAGAGTGATATGGCTTTGCAAGCGCAATCAGAAAAGGAAAGGAAACACAAAGGAAGCTAGAATAACAACAAAGGTAGAAAAGGCTACAACAATTCGACTGGTCGAAATCAGCAAGAAGGAAACTGGTCAAATCAAAGAAAACCCTGGAACCAAGGAAACCAAAGAGGTGGTGTTGCAGGTAAACGAAGAGGTGGTGGACGAAAGCATGACAAAAGTCACATTCAATGTTTCAATTTTCAGAAGTATGGTCACTACTTTAGTGAATGTCGTGAAAAGAAAAAGAATCAAGAAACTGATGCAAAGATGGCGAAGCATGAAGAAGAAGAAATGTTACTAATGGTCACAACAAGAGACTAAGAAAGATTCTTGGATCAGTGGTACTTGGACTCAGGATGCTAATCAATCATGACTGGAAGGAAAGATTGGTTTATCAACATGAAGCCATCGTCGAAGAACATGGTGAAATTTGCAAATGACAATACTCTAGCATCTAAAGGTATTGACGATGTTTTGATTATGAGGAAAGATGACAAGAGGTCAACAATTTCTAATGTGTTGTACATACCAGACATGAAGAGTAATTTACTCAGTATAGGAAAACTAGTAAAAAAGAACTACAAGGTGCCGATCGAAGACAAGATGATGAGAGTTCTCAACGCAGGTGGTAGGTTGATCTTGAAGGCTCCAATGTCTCAGAATAGGACATTCAAGATTGAAATCAATATGATGGAGCACAAGTTCCTAGAAACTGCAGCCAGTAGAGATGAATAGTTATGACATTTTCGACTAGGTCATCTCAATTTCAATGACATCAGAGAGCTAAAGAGGAGAAATATGGCTTTAGATTTACCTGAAATCGACATTCCAAGTGAAGTTTGTGAAGAGTGTGTTCAGTCGAAACAACAAGGGAATAGCTTCAACAAGGATGCAGGAAGGAAGTCGAAGGCAATTCTAGAAGTCATATACTATGATGCATGTAATCCAATCCGGGTGGATTCAATTGCAGGCAACATATACTTTGTCACGTTCATAGATGATTACAGTCGAAAGCTATGAACTTACCCCATCAAGAAGAAAAGTGATGTGATCGAGGTATTTTCCATATTCAAATTTATGGTTGAAAGATAAAGTGGTCGAAAGCTGAAAATTCTGAGGATTGATGGTGGTGGAAAGTATGTGTCGAAAGATTTTGATGTATTATGTGAAAAAGAAGGGATTGCGCATGAGGTGGTGCCACCCTACACTCTACAGCAAAATGGAATTGCAGAAAGAAAGAACAAAACCATCATGAACATGGTGAGATGTATGTTGAATGGAAAGCATTTACCCAAAGAATTATGGGGAGAAGCGGTTTCGACAACAACATACATATTAAACAGATGCCCGACGAAGAAGCTTGAAGGAATCACACAAGAATGTTGGTCTGGAGTCAAGCCTGTCCTCAGTTACTTAAAGGTGTTTGGATCTATAACACATAGACATGTGCCAGATCAGTTGAGAAGGAAGCTTGATGATAAGTCGAATAAGATGATCTTGATAGGATATCATTCGATTGGAGGTTACAGGTTATTCGACCTAGTGAATAAACATGTAGTGATTAGCAGGGACATGATCATAAATGAGCTCAAAGAATGAGATTGGACTGAGAATATCAAGAAGGATTTAGTGAAAATATCTTGTGAAGAACCAGCCACTGAAGTTGAAAGTGAAGTTCGCCAGGAATAAGTCAGAGATGAAGTTGGCCCAAGCAGACCTCAACGAATAAGACACATGCCTGCAAGGTTGCAAGAATATGTGATTACATCAGATGATGTGGTCGATGAAGAAGGTGAGCTGGTACACTATGCTTTCTACGCAGATGTCAAACCAGTCAATGCAGCTGAGACATTGAAAGATTCGAAGTGGGTGAAAGCAATGAATGAGGATTTATACTCCATCAAAGTCAACAACACCTGGTCACTTGTCGAGTTGCCTCAAGGAAAGAAGGAAATTAATGTGAAGTAGGTTTACAAGGTGAAGGTGAATCCTAAAGGAGAAGTAACTCGACACAAGGCGAGACTTGTGGCGAAAGGATTTCTTCAGAAGGGAGGAATCGACTTCAACGAAGTTTTTACATCTGTTGCTGGGATCGAAATAATCAGATTGGTTGTTGGTCTAGCAAATATGAACAATTGGCACACATGTCAGATGGACATTAAGTGTGCATTCCTTAATGGCCCCTTAGATGAAGAAGTTTATGTTGCACAACTAGTTGGGTTTGTGAAACGAGGCGAAGAAATAAAGGTGTACAGGCTGCATAAAGCCCTGTATGGACTTAAGCAAGCTCCAAGAGCTTGGAATAAGAAAATCGACAGATTCTTAAGGGAGAAGGAATTTGTGAAGTTTGTGACTGAGCATGAGTGTATGTAAGAAGAAGCAGTAGTGAACTGCTTATACTATGCCTCTATGTCAATGACCTTTTGATAACAGGAAGTTGTAAGAAGGAGATCGAAGACTTCAAACACAACTTGAGTGAGGAGTTTGAAATGTCAAACTTGGGAAATCTCTCATATTTCCTTGGCTTCGAATCCTACAAGAGTAGTAGAGGATTGATGATGCACCAAAGAAGATATACAGGCGAAATACTCAAGAGATTTGAGATGCAAGATTGCAGCCCAACTTCGACTCCAGCTGAGACCAGATTGCAACTGTCGAAGGATTCAGATGAAGATGATGTCGACCTAACCCAATATAAAAGATTTATTGGGTCACTTCGATACCTTTGTCACACAAGACCTTGAAGGTGAGAAAATACTTAGAAGGGGGGGGGGGGGTTGAATAAGGATTTAGAAAATATTATGGCAATAAAAACACAAAGATTTTTTATCCTGGTTCGTTGAACTCAACTAATCCAGTCCACCCTATCAAGAGTGATTTGCCTTTCTCCACAAGGACTTAATCCACTATAACCAAACTGATTACAATATCAACCACTAAGAACAATTGTCTTAGTCTTCTCAAGAAATACTGACCACAACTTGGTCTTCTTAAGGAACTTTTACAATCAAATGTAAACTAAAACAAGTGTTTAAATGCTTCTAAGAAAGCTATATCACAACTGTGATTTATACACTTAAGATTAAGAACGTATGAAACTATTGAACAAAGAAATATATTTTGTATGAGAGCTTTGAGAGAGTTTTCAATAGTTTTGTTAATTTCGTCCACTGTAGAAAGTTGTTGAAGGCTTGCTTTTATAGACTTATAAGTTCAAGACGTTGCAAGCTTGAAGACCGTGTATTGCAAAGTAGTTATAGCCTTTTGTCTTCACATGACTTGACCTTTCCCAGAATTAGAACATTCAGAGAAATCCTTTTTTCCTGTGTTCTTGTGTCTAGCATAAATGAGAAAAGAGTCGTTTGGCATAACCAACGGATATAACTTTGAATAATCTTCTTCAACAAGTTGCTATCTCACAGCAATTAATCATCAGAGCCTTGAGTGATCAGAGTCCTGATGTTCTCAGAGTTTGCTGTATCAGAGTGTTGCAGCAAGTATGCTTCAGCATGAGTAATAATCAGA